CGCTGCTGCCGCTATGTGCGGACAGCGCGGCCACGGCCGGCCCTTGCCGGTCGTCCGACAACAACTCCCGAACATCCTGATCTCAACTGATACAATATGACCATATGAACTGAATTAAACTGGAAACGTGAATTTTTGCCCAATAACCGAAACTTGGCCGCGTTGGATGCACCGTGCGCCGCCGACGGCGTTAAGCCGCTTTCACGACCGAGCATCAACTCTTCTCAGCAAATTATACATGACTGGTCGAAAAACATGATTTACTAAATAAATAGATATGGTTGTTTGAAATAATATTCACTTAACAAGTATGTTACTCTTGAACGGCCCGTGGCGCGTGCTACGTGCACGGCCACGCCCTTCGGCCGAAATACCGCAAAATCTAAATAATCCTTCGAACACATAACTAATCTGAACATGATGATACATATAAAGACTAAACATGCGAGGTGTAAGCCCCGGCCCAAAAATTATAATCAGTAGCTCGACTTTATTTATCGAATTAGTATTATTTTAATTATGCAGAGAATTATTAATATTAATTGCATAATTTATTTATTTTTAAGCCCAAGTAGTATTTTAAATAATCGAGCCTAGTAGCAATTATATATCCGCGCCCAAGTCGTTAAAAATCACGCCCAATATTATTTTTCGATCTAAGTCGAGATTATTTCAAGCCCGTCATATTTTATTTGACCGAACATTTCAAATTTTTAAGTCGAGTCGACTAATTATCCTACGCCTAAACCAATATATAATCGAGCCCAATCAATTAGGCCCGATTTTAAGCCCAATAACAAGAGCAAAACCCTAGTCTCCTACACCATCTATAAATAGTTGTCCCCTTGTCTCCCAACACAACAACAAGAAGAAACCCTAGCCCCCAAGTTACTATTCATCATCTTCCTTTCAAGAACACCTTCATTTTCCAAGATCTAGTGCAAAAATTCACACCATGTCTTAGCTCAAGTTAATATCTAGCATTAAATTCCCAAGATCCACCACTCCATATCCACTTTCTTGCAAATTCCGGCCACCATTCCGCAGCTCCGGCGAGCCCGTGCCGTTTTCCGGCGAATCACCTCGCCAAGACCACCGTTAAGCACTTGAACCGTGCACATCCGAGCCACAACCGAAACTTTGATCAAGCTCCCGACAACTTCGAGTTTCGATTTCTCCATCCCTAAGCAAGGTACATGGCTTAATCAAAATTTTTACTATGCTATG